TGGATAGTCCTTTCCTTTAAGAGCTAGAGAGGAGGCTGAGGAAAAGGTAGTTTCTTACTGGGGATGGAGTGAGCAGAAAGGTGACAGTGCTGTACCTCAATGTCTCCTCCTGTAATTACTGCAAAGACCCCCTGCCCATGGGAAAGTAGAGCTCATGGAAGTTCGGGTAGGAGGGATGGAGACACCAGCCAGCAGTAAGAGCAAGCAGGAGTCAGCTTCAACTTTTGCTAACACGACAAATGATTCTTCCAGATTACCAGGTACTGTTTTGTGGTATCTTTTTTATTTTATTTATTTTTTTAAATCAGGAGTGTGAGACATCTGTGGGGTATTGGGTAGTGCAGGAGAGGGGTCTGGCCAGAGATATAAATATGGGGACCTACCCACGTACCAGATAACAGTTAAAGCCATGACACTGAGGAGAGGACCAAGGGACTGAGTACTTGTAACAAAGAGAAGAGGTCCAAGGACTAGGTCTGGGGCATATCAACAGGGCAGGGAGGAGAACCCAGCAAAGACAAGCCAGCAGCGGTGGTCAGTGAAGCAAGGGGAAGACCAAGTGTGTGGTGATCTGAACACCACACAGAGGGAGCTTCTCAAGGAGAAAAGAGGGCTCAGCTATTCCAAGTACAAGGAGGATCCAGAACTGACCTATGGATTTGTCCAAGTGGAGGATACTAGGGAAACCATTTCAGTGAAGCGATGGGGAGAGGGGTGTCTGATTGTGATGTAGGATTTTTGGATGTGTGTGTTGTGTGTTGTGTGTGGTGTGTGTTCATGTATGTATATGTATACGCCAGGATTCGTGGTCTCATAGCACCAAAGAATGGAGACACGGACCAGAGAGGTAAAGTTTGTAACAGAGGACAGTTTATTAGAGTAGAAAATAACAGTTCTCTAAATGAGAGGGGGTTTCAACTGGGGTGCCCCTGTTTTTTGGTATCTTTATACCCTCTACGTGTGTGTAGATGCATTTCTAAATATGTTTCAGTGCATGCCAAGGAGAGCCCCTTGGACTTGCACTGGGTTAATATTTTTTAAAAGCATCAACATATGTAGATTAGCCATGTTCTCAATTGTCACAACAGCTTAAGGTTAATATCCTGCAGTTCAAGATTCCTAGACTCATATCATAAGGCAATGCTGAATATGCCAATGTAGACCACGCTAGCTCTATGACTTCAAATATATCTTGAATCTTCCCACTTTGATCCGTCTCCTTGGTAATCACCCAAGTCTAGACCCTTGGTATTCAAAAAGTGTTGTCTAGGGCAGGGATCAGCAACCTTTCTAGGTAAGGGCCAAGTAGTAAGTCTTTTAGATTTTGTGGGTCATACAGTTGCAACCACTTGACTCTGCTATCATGGCATGAAAGCAGCGATAGATAATATGGAAACAAGTGGCTATGTTTTAATAAAACTTTATTTACAAAAATAAGCAGTGGGCCAGAGTTGGCCCATGGGCCATAGTTTTCTGACCTTGAGTCTAGGAACCATCAAGGTCAGCACCTTCTGGAAACTTATTAGAAATATGGTATCTCAGATCCCACCCCAGATCTTCTGAATTAAGTCTTCATTTTAACAAGATCCCTAGATGATTCCTATGAATATTAAGGTTCGAGAAGCACTGGTCTTCTAGGGAGAGGCCACCACCACCCCTCCCCTGGGTTGCTATGATAGCCTAACTAGTCTCCCGGACCTTCTGCCTTCATGTCACCTTTGCCACCCTCCAAAGCATTGTCCACAAAGCAGCCAGAGGGATCTTCTTCCAATACAAATTGGATCACATCACTAGCCCACTAAAAACCTTTCAGTGGACTCTTAATTAGCTTGTCATATTCCACAACAAAGGAACCAACGAAACACAGGATGCCAAGTTACATTTGAATTTCAAATAAACAGTGAATAAATTTTTAGTATAATTATGTCTCATGCAATATTTGGAACATACTTAAACTAAAAAGTTAATTGTTATTTATCTGAAATTCAAATTTAACTGGGTGTTCTGTGTTTTACCTGGCAACCCCACTCCCAGTGTTCTGAGATTAGACTCCAAACTCCTCATCACAGCCTGTATGACATGTGTTATGTGGCCCTGCCTCCGTCCCAACATCATCATATACCACCCTCCCCTCCATGACCACACTGGCTAAACTCCTTCCTGCCAACACCTTGGACAAACTGTGGCCTTTACCTGGAATCCATTTTCTAACTATTCTTCAGGTCTCAGCCTAAAGTCTCCTGTATAAGGGAGGCCTTCCCTGACTTTCTGTCTAAAGCGAGCACATGCTCTCACCCATTNCCCAGCCATTAGAATGCTTTGTCTCAAGCACGGGAGCAGGAGAGTGGCGCTTGGTAACCATAGGCAACCATGAACCTGTATTAGCTATTTGTGCTTTATTTGTAAGACGCAATCCAGCCATTGGCTGGGTAGAAGGGAAAATGTGCTTTACAGGTTTTCTTGTACAGTAAAATACTGGCTTCTCTATTTTCAGAACGACCAGTCCATGGGCGAGATGCAGATAATTGGAGGCCACGATCTTTCAACACTGGCTGGGAAGGTTTGTAAATGTAACTGCTTGGTTCACATTGATGTCTGATGTCGTGGGGAAATCAGTGACCTTCATTTCAGGTCAGCACTTGCAATACATTTCAGACACTCTCCCAGGTTTGCTAATTCATGCAAATGGATGTGTGAATCCTTTTAGTGATTTCTCCTTTATAAAACACTCCTTTTATAATGCTTCCAGGATATGATGCAGACCAAATCTTTCGTCTTCCAGCTTCCTTCCAACCTTATTTCAGACAACCTCGTATTACAAAACCCCACTGGGCACTCCTTGTTCTTTCTTTTCTAGTCCCCCTTTCACGTACCTCCTGAAAGGAAGCTTTTCCCTTTATTTGTCTGCTTTATGTCTCTCATCTATGCCTGCACCCAGGCCCTTCTGTAACACATTTAAACCGGTCTGTTGAAATGTACAAAATTTGGGGATAAAATAAAAAGGACGTCGAGATGGCACATTTTTCAGCCCTCTGCCTTTTGTCCCCTCATTAAAAAGAATGTAACCCGCTAGATCATGTAGATCAGGGGGCATACACCTCCAGTTTTAAAATGGAGTTTCAAACATGCCAATGCTTAATAATCAAGTGAAAAAATTATTTGGATTCTGACATAAATGCATACATTGGAAAGGAAGACTTGTTTCATAAGCAGATGGTCTTTGTGGAAATGTGACCTAAAATGCAATTTTTGCAGTGAATGAAAACAACACATAATCTGTTTTTGTTCAGCTCTACTGACATATCTTGTATTCATTATCCCTGAACAACTTCAGCTCTCTTAAGTAAAACAGCTCAGTGTGTTACACAAGTTTAATCTCTCATATTTGTGGTTGTTATTGTTACGCAATGCCCGGATGGTGAAAAGGAATAGCAGTCACATTTAATAAAAAGATGAATAATAACATTAGGGACACTCCAACACCACACAGACTAACTACAAAACAGCTCACTTCCCTCTACTCTGAAGACAGCATAGTTGCATTCAAGTGTTAAATTGCAATCTAGTAGTCTATTAAGTTCCATAGAAATTGGAATTAACTTGATGTTAATGTTTCACTAGCCCACCATTTGATGTTACTATTACAGTGTATAAAATAATGTACTAGAACAGTAAAATACTCAAAGCAATTTCCAGAGAGTCATAACTTTTAACACCCCTGGAGTGGTACTTAAATAAGTCATTTAACTTATCTTTTTATCTTTTAACTTACCTTTATCTTTATGAAATGTATAATTTTATCAGTATTTGAAAATTGGCACATGTAAGTTCAGTATCTCTATAATTACCAATGTATGTATGCATATGTCTGTAGTAACATGTGTAACTTATGTGTGTGATATCAGATCACCCTACATAAACATTACATTTTTATCACATAGGGAAGTAAACATCACAGATAAAGCCAGGTTATATTGTGGAAACATTATATCATCAGTATTCCTGAAGATCAAAAGCTGGCAAGTGATGCCGAACTCTGTTTTATATAGTTTTTGTATGCAGATATTTGTTCACTATGAAGTAAAACATGCAAAATATTGAAGCATTCCTTTCATTTAGGAAAAGATAAGGTAAACATAATTTGTTAAGTCATTACACCAAGCTAACATTGTTACTGTGCTTTTTTTCTCCTGAGATCTGGGATGAAAGCTCAGGTAGATAGGTTTATGAATAGCAACTGTATTCTAAGTTAATGCACATTTTAAATTGAGGTATAATTGACATATAACATTGTATTAGTTTTAGATGTACAAAATAATGACTCAGTATTTGTATATATGGCGAAGTGATCACCACAATAAGTCTAGTTAACATCTAGTTAACATGATAAGTCATTTTAGTACTTTGTTTTATGATGTTGCTTATAGGTCAATTACACAAGAGAA